TTCACAGAAAGCATCAAATTCATTTGAGAAATATTCACCACCTCTATCACTTTGAACCATTTTGATTTTCTTATCTTTTTGGTTCTCAATTTTAGCCTTATAAATTTTAAATTTATCAAAGGCTTCATCTTTTGTTCTAAGTAAATACACATAAGTATATCTAGAACAATCATCAATAAAAGTGATAAAGTATCTCTTTTCTCCTCTAGTCAAAATTCCATTATACTCACAAATATTGGTATGAATCATATCCAATATTTGAGTATTACGTTCGGTTCTAGGAAAAGGTTTCTTAGTCATCTTTGCTTGTATACAAATTTCACACTTATCATTTTTAATATCTTTGCAATTAATCAAACCATGTTTAGACATGTATTTCAAAGATATAAAATTTAAGTGTGCTAAACGTGCATGCCAAACATCAAAAGAATCAACAATATAAAGAGAATTCACATCATCTTTATTATTAACGCTTAGTTTGTACATGCCATCACAAGAATACCCCTTTCCCACAAAGATCCCATTCTTAGATACTATACAATTATTGCCCTCAAGTACAATTTTAAGTCCATTCTTACACATAAGACTAGCGGATACAAGATTTTTCCTAATATCAGGAACATGAAGTACATTGTTCAATGTAAGCTTCTTTCCAGAAGTAAAGTTAATCTCCACCACTCCTCTCCCGGCAACCATCGCTGCATCATTGTTCCCCATGAGAACAGTTTGTCCTTCCTTTTCCACTTTGTAAGATAAGAACATAGTCTTGTCATTACAAACGTGGATTGTGGCACCGGAATCAAGCCACCAATCGGTGGATTTAAATGCAGCCATGTTAGTTTCGGTAATCATGCCAATTTGTAATTCCGAGACCATAGCACATATGTCTTCGGATTTCTCTTCAACGGTATTGGCCTTGTTGGTGTTCACTTCTTCCTTTTTCTTCTTGTATCTGCAGTCATTTTGGCGATGGCCTTTCTTTCCACAAAAGAAACAATTTCCAGAAAATTTCTTTTGGCCATTACCTGCCTTCTTGAACTTCTTGTCATTATTGACTTTGAAGTTCTTTGAAAACTTACTGGCTTCGGCAACATTAACTTTAGAGGAATCAACATTTTTGTTCTTGGAATCACGAGACTTAGTCTCTTCTTCTATTCTCAAGTGTTTTTGTAATTTCTCCAAAGTTATGTCATCTCTCCTATGAAGGAGTTTCTTTCTATAACCATTCCAACTTTGAGGCAATTTAGCAATAATTGCCCCACTTGAAATGATTCAGAAATCTCAACCTTCAATTCACGAAGCTTAGTAATAATGACTTGCAATTTATGTATTTGATCTAGAACGAACTTGGTGTCAACCATGACATATTCTAGAAATTTCAAGATAAGAAATTTGTCCGTACCTTCCTTCTCAGTTTTATATTTGTATTCGAGAGCGTTCCAAATCTTCACCGGAGACTCCATCGAGTTGTAAAGATCGTAGAGCCTATCGGAGAGAGTGTTGAGAATATGACCCCGGCATATGATTTCATCATCTCCTCGCTTCTTCCTTGCGGTCTTCAATTCTTCAGAATCATCCTCCTTTGGTTCAGGAAGTGGCTCCAATTTCGGATCAAGTACATAGGCGATCTTAAGCACGGTGAGAAGAAAAAATAACTTTCCTTTCCAGCGGGTGAAGTTGGTACCATCAAAACGATCAAGTTGAACATTAGGATTGAGGAAAGACGTCATGTTCTTTTCAACCTCCATTGCAGCAAGTATTAAAACCTTAAAGATTGTTGGGAAAATTCAGATTTGGAAGGATGAAAAGAATAGAGAATTCAGAAAGAAGGGTTTGAGGCGTATAGGAATACTTTCCTTTAAGGTTTTATTTGCCCTCACTTCTCAAAGTTTGCTAACGAGTTCTAAATGGCAAATTACCCCCAAGATACAACAAACCCTTGAACACAATATCCAGCAAAAATATTGAGTTCCAGAACAATGTATATCAATCTGTATTTTCTGAAGTCCATCATATAAAGACAGGGATGCATTCATCCTCTTTAAGTGTTACAACCTTTCACATAAAGATACCTTTTCAATTTGATGGTTATCTTTTATATGCTGATACACTTATAACAATAGTTATTTCTATTGTTAATAAATGCTCAGATATGTGAGAAAACATATCACAAATAGATGCAATGGTTCGAGACCTTTTCAGATCACTAAAACACACGAACACATTTTTCGTCGAAGATTTGCGCTGCAGCGCTCAAACGCGCGCTGCAGCGCGCGTGCCTAGCAAAACAGACCCAAGGGTCTGTTTTGCGCAGGCTGCAGTGCCCAAACGCGCACTGCAGCGCGCCCGTGCGCTGCAGCGCACAGCAGCGTGCCTAGCAAAACAGACCCGAGGGTCTGTTTTGCGCAGGCTGCAGCGCCCAAACGCGCGCTGCAGCGCGTCCGTGCGCTGCAGCGCGGACTCTTCCGCACTGCAGCGCGTGCTTGCGTCAGCCTACTCTTTCCGAATGTGTTTTAATCCAATTTTGTGATATCAAGATTGAGAGATATATTACAATCTCTCTAACAAAACTTTTGTCTCAAGAGTTGCAGATACACACAACTATAACATTCACTTAATGTACCCACTTGGGTTGATGCATGAAGATTCCTGTTCTACATGGTCTAATGGTATGAATTATATAATCTAACAAAATTTTAAATATATATTTGTTAAAAGAACTGAAGACGTTTATAGTAGAAAATAAATAACTAGGAGCAACTAGACAAGGTTGAACTTGAAATCATGTCTGCTAAGGAGTATGAATAAACTATAGCCACTGTTAGGAACCAAATACCATCTGACTTTGAAAAGGTGAGATTTTTCAACCGATATCACACGCTTTTGGCACTATGTAATAATACTAGACTTCACTCCGTTCTTCATCTCTAGAGTCCGAAATATTAATTGTTGGAAAGCCAATAAGAGCTTTTACACTCGAGGAAGATCTATCTTCTAGTTGGTTTGTAACACTTCCTGCGTCAACCATCTCTTGCAAAATCTCAAATGCCATAGGCTGATTTGATACAGATAGAAAAGCACTTACTAATGCTATGAAAACAAAATTGTCGGGTTTCATCCCCATTTCTTCCATCTCGTGAAGATAAACTAGAGCTGTGTCGGGCCGACCACACTTGCAAAGACCATTGATGAGAGCTGTCAAAGTGATCCTGTTTGGAGCACATCCTTTTCTTCTCATGTCATCCAAAAGCATAAGAGCGTCATTAGACTGTCCAACAGCGCATAACCCGTCTATTAATGTTGTGTAAGTGATTACACTAGGCTCTATCTTTTCACCAAGCATCCTAGAGAGGAATTCCATGGCTCGACCAATATCGCCAATTTTGCACCATCCATCTATCAACAAATTGTATGTAACAACTGTTGGAACAAGCCCCTTCACCAACATCTCGTTCACAACATCCTCGGCTTCTTGCATTCTTGTGGCCTTACAAAGCCCATTTATCAAAATGTTATAGGCAACTACATCAGGGCAACAACCTTGGGCGCAAATTTCTTTGAACATACGCAAAGCGCTATCTACATCTTGAGTCTTTACTAATCCATTTAAAGCAGCAGAATAGGCAACTATATCAGGAAGAAAACCTTCTTGAAGCATGTCATGAAGAAAATTACAAGCTTCAACTACCTTCCCATGTTTGCATAGCTGCTTCACAAGTAAGGTTGAATATTTTATCCATGGTTTATGTCCACGCATACGCATCCTTTTCACCATGTGAAAGGCTCCTGCAACATCCTCTCTTCTACTTAGGCACCCATATAAAGAATTATGAGTAAATTGTGTTGGTTCAAGTCCTGAATCCTCCATATCTCTCAGGAGCTCATAACTTTCTTCCAGTCTATTTGAATTACAAAGTCCATCTATCAAATCGTTATAGATTAAAATATCTGGTTTGCAGCCCATGTGGATCATATCTTTGAAAAGGGATAAGGCCATGCCCAACTTATCGGTCTTTAGAAGACCATCAATAACAATTCTAAAACAAGACGTAACAGGACGAACATTTATATTGAGGCGATTATTTACCTCGAATGCAGCATTAGATTCACCGCCCATCATTGCACAGAGCAGGAAATGAGCTTTATCAATTGAACCCATATTGACAAGGCATTTCAGCACAGAGTTGTAAAGCAAAATGACATCATCTTCACCCATATCTTCTACTGTTTCTTCAAGCAATGAAATCACACGCTCTCCATTAGAACAACATGATACGATCTTTATAAGGATCCTGACATCAGGACGGATACCCAATTGCTTCATTTCCGAAAACAAGCATAAGGCTTTCTCGACCTCATTGTTCTTACAAAAGCCTCCAATTAGCACATCATAAAGAGATACATCAACACCAAGACCCGACTCCCGCATTTTGCTAAACAACTGAAGGGCCCTATCGACTCTAGACTCTTTCACAAACCCGTTAATTAAAACACGAAAAGTCTTCTCATTCATCCGAATACTGTGATCTTCCATCGCGCCAATCAACTCAAACGCCTTATCCACCTTAGCCCACTTGCTAAAAGACACTACAAGGATAGAAAACACATGTGCATCAACCCATTTCTTCTCAAACATTTCATTAAAAACATCCAAAGCCTTGTCAAACTTGCCCACTTTGCAATAAGCCATTAACAACGGTGTCAAAGTATATTTATCTAACTCCAACCCAGAATCCATCATTTCCTTTAACCTCATCTCAAGCAAATCAATCCCACCAGACTTTGATATGACCTCAAACAAACAAGCATAACTATAAGCATTAGGAACGCAAAGACCCTTTGTTCTGACTTGATCAAACAAAATATTAGCCTCCTTAACCAATCCCAAACTACCCAAACACCTCAAAAAGAAACCCAAACCTCCAGGAGTCATTAAGCAATTCAAATTCACAACATCCAATGCCAAAGCTCTCAGTGGGGCATTTTGTCGAGCATTTGATAGGATTGACGCCATGGCATTGTAAGTATAACAGTTGTGCCTATAGCCAGACTGGTTTGACGCCCAAGTGAAGAAAGAAAAAGCTGTTTTCCAACTCTTTAAGCCGTTCAACACTAATTCAACAAGTTTGGTGGTGAGAATAGGTGCAAATTTCTTCAGCTCTGGGTTGTCCGGAGGAAAGGGTTGTTTGGTGAAGATGGAAATGAGGTCGTAACCGACTTGGGTTTGCTCCGAGGAGAGAGAAAGGCCATTGGAGAAGTTGGTGGAGTATGGGGAGTGAGATTGAGATGTGGGGTTTATGGGGTTTTTGTGTATCATCAGTTTGCAGAGACTTCGGTGGGTGTTTAAGATTCTTGGTAGTGCCATTCTCGTAACTATTAAGGATTCTGTGGTCTCTATTACGCTTATGCAGTGACAAGTAATATGGTGTTGTTTTGTAAAGGATTTTAGTAAATCCTTGTTTCTCTAGTGTGTTTGGGATTGTTTTTAATTGTCAAAAGTACTTTTCATAATAAATAATGTGATTATAGTATTTGTTAAAAGTGTATACAAATATTTTGCACATAAATTAATGCACTTTTTAAATTATTTTAAAAAATTGAAATGTGTAATTTTTAAATTATACTTCTATTTTTATTTTAACTTTAAGTAAAAATAATGATTCTATTAAAAGCACATCAATTATTTTAAAAGCACAACAATCTTAAATTGACCCCTTGGGTCGTAATTCGTTTAATCCCTTTTTCTTTGTCCCTTTATGTATAATTTATTTTAAAAGCACAACAATGTATAATTTATTTTATACAAATTGGGTTTTGAGGCACGGAACTTCATTATTATTTGGCTTCCATATGACATTTGGACTCCAAGTATAGTCGATGATATGGGAGCAATGTAATAGAACAACAATTTTAGGGTGTTATGAGAATATGAATAAACGAATATTTATAGTTTAATACCTGGACCTTATGAATTAAGCAGCGTAAAATGTACACTTAGACACATTGTACAATATCAACTTTGAATATATTATTGTCAATTGTGATTAAATAAATTAATCTTGTTTTATAAATTTTTAGTTAAATTTAAATTGTTATACATATTTGCAATCAACCTCATTTAAAATCTCAATTTAGGTTCTAAATTACCTAAATCAACATTCTGTAAGCAATGCAAAATTAGGGGAAAAAAACACACAAACACACACACATACACAAAAACAACACAAAAGAAACAACAAAACAGAAGATTAAAAAAAAATAAACAACCCTATAAAAGCAAGTCGAAATAATACAATTACGTTAGAGAATACGTTAATTTTGGCTTAACCAAATTCTAGATCGGTGTCTATAACATAATATAAGATACAGAAAAATCAGATAATTACATGCGTTGTAGTTGCTTACTTTTCCAAACTCGTGGTTACCCTTGTCGTCGTATCTTTTGTGTCATGAAGTGTCTTAGCCTACCGGTCATTCCTCAATCACTAATACTAAATAGATGGACAATGAACACAAAAGCCTCGTTTATTTCACCGATTTGAGTTTTCAATTCCAGTTTTGTTACAGTTAAAAGCTCTCACAAAAAGTCACTTCTAACTTTTTCTGCTACAGTTAAAAGCTCTCACATAAAGTCACATCTCAACTTGAATTAAAAACTCAAATCAGCGAACTGAACGAGGCCAAAGTCAAGAGTTGAAAACAGCATTGAACCATTCATGAAAGTGTCCTTAAGAGTTGCAGGAGATGGCTAGGTGTGGCTCGCTTACTATCCAATTCAACCAACTAGCAAACTATGCAACCAAGCAGGAAGAACTCTACATAGAGGCCAAGAGTGAGCTAGCATGGTTGACTATAAAATTACAAAACATCTTCATTGACATGCAATCCTCTAACTAGCAAACTTCCCCTAAAACTGCCTCTTAATGAAACACGATTTTTAGTCGTTGTTTGGTATAAGGATTCTGAACCTAGAATTATGATTCTGGGTTCAAACCAATGTTTGTTTATAAAAAAATAAAAAGTGGTTTTGATTTGAATCACCCAGAATTAATGTTTGGTTTGGATGGTTCTGATTCAAGATTTGAATCCTGATGTGATGTTTTAAACCATGAATCATCCCTGATTCTAAAATCACCCACCCCCTTAGTTTTGGGTGGTTCAAACCCCTGATTCTAGTGCTGGTTTCAGAATCATGACATAAACCCAAAATCATGAATCATGGTCCTGGTTCCAAAATTTTGGTTCATGGATTAGAACTATGAGATTAGAATCATTTTCGATTTACGTGTATTTTTTGTGAGAGAAAACACTGTAGCGAATCACGGACCATGATTCAAATCAGGGTATGAATCTCCCAACCAAACAACCCCTCACCTTGATTTGAACCCTCATACCTTAGGCTTCATTTGGTATGAGAATTCAAATCATGGTGATTCTAGTTTTGATTTTAGAATTTTGGGTCCAAATTATGGTTCTAAAACCAGAACCAGAATCAGGGGTTTGAACCACCTAAAATCAGGGAGTCGTTTTAGAATCAAGGATAATTCTGGTTTAAAACATCACATCAGGGTTCAAACTTTGAATCAGAACTATCCAAACCAAACACTAATTTTAAGTGAGTCAAATCAGAATCACTTTTTACTTTTTGTAAACAAACACAGATTTGAAACAGAATCATAATTCCGGGTTCTAGAATCATGGTTCCGGGTTCTTGAACCCTTGTACCAAATGTGTTCTTTGATATCCATAGGTAGTTTAGAATAAAGGAACAACGAATCATCATATAAACAAAGATCGCTCGAAACATGATGTTGCATAGAAAGCACAAGGACAAAGTGTAGTGTGTGCAAAGGTGAGGGGCACAACAAGGAGACATGTCCTCAGAAAAATACTCAAGGAAAAAACATCAATCAGCCAGAAGAATCGACTTGCACAAGATCACGAGAGAAATAGTATAGTTGGTCAGATGTAATGGATGCAAAAATTGGATTTTACCATTAGGCAAACTACCAATATGACTCATGCCCAGGTTTCGACCTTCAAAAATTTAGGTAACAACCATTCTTACAGATATTAACAGTACAACATTGCATCGATATTTACTGACACTTTATTTAACAATTAAATGCTTCTTTTTTGATACAGGGTTTAATACCAATCATCAATACAAAAACTACAAAAATAGGACTTCTCCTAATTACATATTCGTATTAAGAATTTTGTTCTTTCAATTGCATACAATTTCTAAATTGGACGCGTCGTTTTACTATTTAATATCATACATTATGCTTGCATAATCTACATGCAGTTATCATCAATCTAAAATTTCCAATGCGAGATACATTTTATTCTGGTTGTTACTTTTTAATCAACTATATGTTTTATCTTCTGCATTGGATGTTACGCTGTCGTTTTCTGTTATCATGACGGTACATTTCTATAACTACAGACAAAAATACAGTGTAAAGACATTTGGTTCATGGATTAGAACCATGTGATTAGAACTATTTTTTATTTATGTTTATTTTTTGTAAGAGAAAATACTCTAGCGAACTATGATTCGAATCAGGGAACGAATCTAGGTACCAAACATTTACATAATAATAACCATACTCATTTTCAGGAATAAAAACGACACTAGGTGAACATACGATATCTTGTTAACTATATAACTTTAACCCCAAACCCACGCTTTATTAGTTTCCACGTCAATAATTCTTACAGCAATGAATATTTTATTTGTTAATTGAAGAACATGGCCAAAAAAAAAAAAGTAATTGATCTGCATGATAATATTTTACATGAAATGCAGCTATGAAATAAAAACTCTATACAAAATAATTTTAAAATTTCTAATTAAGAGCGGTAATACACGAGATTGTAGTGTAAATAAAATGATAAAACGATCATTTTATCACATAATACAAACATTATTATTTAATTCCCTAAGGAAGAGAAAATAATAGATGCACTAACAAAACCTTATGTAGCATTATTTTTCTTAATATATAGACTGTACCTGCTATTTTCATGGGGCAAGCCTTGTGGGTTCAAAAGTCACCTTTAACACGTAATACAATTATTACTTAATTTGAGACCCTTTTCCTTAAGCCCTAATAAAAGAAAGCAGTATATAATAAATAGGTAAAAAGTACAAAAGGTGAAGATCATAAATAGAAAGAAAAATTAAACCATTTTTTCTTAAACTGTTAAGTAAGAGAAAATAGTAGATAACAACAAAGTAAAAAGTAGTATTAGCAACAAAAAAAGTAGTATTAAAAAAAAAAAAAAAAAAAAAAAAAAAAGAGTAATTGAAAACTACAAAAGATGAAAGGCATAAATGGAAATACAAATTAAACCAATAAGCTCTAAGTAAGAGAAAAGAGTTGATAACAAGTAAATAAAAAAGAAAAAATGAAAAATTTACTCTTGAAACTGTATGAGTCTGGACCTTTACCCTTTACTCTTGATAAATACCCTTTTGTTAGTGTAATTATTTGACTAAAAATGTTATGAATCAAGAGTAAAAGGTAAAAATCTTGATCCATGCACTTTCAATAGGTATTTATTAAGATTACCCAATAAAAAAATATAAAAAGTGAAGGGCATAAATGAAAATAAAAAATAAACCTCTTTTTCTTAAGCTTTAAGTAAGATAAACAAGTATATAAATAAAAAGTGCAAGAGGTAAAGGGCACAAACAAATAAAAAATAATTAGTCGACGACTACTTGCTTCATCATATTTTTATTATATAGTAGAAATAACAAAATTAAAATGTTATTTTTTTTTAACAGACATCCCTCAAATTTATCATTTTATCTAATTGATCCTTCAATTTTTAATCTTGACAATATACCCTTTAAATTTTCAAATTTATTATAATGTTTGTCAAAATAAAACTAAAGTTAAAATTTTGAATTGTTTCTTTTACTGAGTGTTTGATGAAGGTAATTCTAATCATTTTACGTCGAATTATTCCTCATATACACATCATTAACGGAAAATTTTTTGCTGAGTTGTGCCCCTTCACACAACGATTAGTGGATACGAAAACAACATAGAGGACCGATTGGTTAATACTCTTCTAAAAGAAAGTTCAGTCAGAAGTATTACGTTCCTCAAGAGTTAATAGATTATTAGATTTAATTTATTATTCATATTAACATGCGTTTTATTCCTGACCTATACTAAATATTTGTAAATTTCAGTAAGCCACTTAATTAAATTTTTTTCAATACAGGGATCTTTTGTGAATTCAATTTTACAGTTTTTATCTAAAATTTAATAAAGGGACTATTAATGAGACACTTTTTTTGTTTACGCTATCCTTGGAATAAAATAGACTAAAAAAATTAGTTCTACAGAGAGAAAGGAACAATTTTTTAATTTTAAAAAAATTTGAAAGTGGTAATGTTGTAATTATTAAATATTTGAAAGTGATAATGTTGTAACTATCATGTGATATTAACCTACTAACAGACAAATACTAACTTTTGACAAATGTTACATTTAGTGTCTAACTTTGAAAGTAAATATAATATATGTCAATTTATAAGACATCAAGAACTATATTGCCAATTGAAAAATGTTTATGTTACTCCAATTCTAAGTATTTACAATTTAGTGGAAAAAATTGTGAAAATATTGTATCCATAGAAATTTGGCAATAAACTAGAAATTAAAAAGATAAATAAAAGATAAAAAGTTTATTCTTATCCATTATTTATCAAATGAATTGCATTATATAGTTTTCATATGTGTCTATTAAACCTAAATTTCAATGAGGAACTTTAATTCTTAATTTTAAACTTGATTCTTTGAAAGAAAAATTCAAAATATCCCCTCAATGATGAATCACACGTGATTCTAAAAGGTCAAAACATTCACAATTAGATGATAATTTGAGTCATGGCAGCACAACTTAAAATCCGTATGTAGTTAATAAGTACGTAGTTAACAAGTTTAAGTTTGGTTAGGGTCATAATTAACATTATTAATAAATAAATTGGTTTTGGATTTATTTGTCTCACAATCTTCGCATCAAGACTTGTCTAATAATTCTATGTCAAATATGTTTAGTTTTTAAAGAGTTTTTTTTTTTTTTTTAAATTATAAATCAAAATAAAACAAGAAATTTTTTAGGAGGATATAAAAGTTTAATTCTTTATATATGTGGTTCTAAACATTCATAATTGTGTTATATGTACATACATGAGCTTTTTATGCAGAGTACCTTATTATAATTGCATGTTCTTGATCATTATATTTGACTACAATCATATATACAAAACTCATTGCAGATCCAATTAAGCATTCAAAACAAAACCATACTGATGAGATATTTTTCAGTACCCCTATCATAAAAATCTCAATATATATATTATATATGTAATATAAATATTAATTTATTAAAATCTCTAGATAATGTGGACTATCAATATATAGAATATTTATTTTATCTACCAAAAAATTGTTTGAGAATAAAATTATTTTATATGACAATACGACAATATTCCTCCTGAAAGTCCTTTTACATGTCAACCCCAGAATTCAAACACTTGGCCTAGCAAACCCTTAAAACCACCAGATATCCTTACACCTCATGATAAACGCTCTGAGAAGTTCAGTTTTTCTTCTCTCCCAAACTTTTCCAACATTTCTTGATCATTCTTGAACGCAGAAAATCGCAGATACTCACACATAGAGAGAGATATATATTTATATATATGATCATCTCAATCATCTAGCTAGTTATACAGTCGCAAGAGCCATGTCGTCGTCGTCGGAGCTGAGTCTAGTAGCATACGGCAACAAAAACGGCAGGTCGTCATCGCCGACGACCTTCTTGAACTCGATGTTCATGTCGACGGTGAATGCGGCGGCGAAGACTCTGGTGTCGGTGGCGGCGACAACCAAAGGAAGCGGCGGGATCGTGGCGGGCGGCGGCGGTGGCGGGGGGAAGTGGAGGCCTGGAGACCACTTCCGGTTCATGCTGATGCTGATGACGTGGCTCACGCTTTGGGTTCTTAGGGTTTTAATGGACCACATACCGTCTTGCTCTTCTTTGATGGCCTTGGGATACTGCACTACTTCTGCTCCTTTGAATCTTCTTCAGGCGTTTTCGCCTCTCGGGTTGCTCGAATTCCCAGGATCAGGGCCGTCAGCGGCGGCGGCGTCGGAGTCCGCTTCGTTGTCGGTTTCGTCGCTGCAGATGATTCTGAATGAAGGAGTTGAGGCTGTGCCTGTTCAGGCTCTTGGAAGAGCCCTTTCTCATGTAAGTAAATCTACTTTTTATTTTATTTTATTTTTTTCATTTTGTTTTGGAGCGAATATATTTAGGCTCGTTTGAGTTAAAAATTTGAGTTTTTTTACAGTTAAAAATTTGAGTTTTTTTACCGTAAAAAATTCTTAAAAATAATCACATTTAAAAAAGCTCTCACATAAAATCACATCTCAACTCGAATTACAAACTCGAATTAGCAAACTAAACTTGTTAGACATTTTCTAAAATGACTGTAGATTTTCGTGTGAGGTTTATTTTAAGGCAGTTGTGGGGGCGGGGGAATATACAATATATATATATATATATATATGTGTATATATATATATATATATGATTTTAGTGAGAAAAATAAAGTGAAAGTATTGAGATTTTTATTGCATCGTAAAATATGGTATAAATTTTCTTATTGTGAAGATGTAAAATCTCTTGTTAAATTTATTGACTAATTCTATTTATAATTGATGGATATATGCTCTTGTACTAGTACGAGTGAATTTGTACTTATGAGATTATGAGATTATGAGATGACGTGGTGTGATTTAATTAATTAAATATTAATTAGGACACCAAAATTTAGGCGGTAGAAAGACACCAAAATTTAGACAGACAGTAGCAGAGGATCCGGCGTTAAACCAAAATTTAGACAGTAGACAGACACCAAAATTGCGTTAGAAATATTGTATCTTAGAACAATAGGTTACAGTTCGGGATATATATATTTCACCCAAAAAAAAAAAATACTCGGGATATATTTATCAGAAAACAGATCACCACTAATTGAAATTTATCTTATTTTTTTATCTCTGTTTTTTTTTTTTTCATCCGAAGATTATTAGTGAAATTGAGTAGGGCAATGTCTAATATAGTTTTTAACTCTGGCTGAAAATTTTGCGTTTCAACATCGCATTTCTTTTCATTTAAATTTTAGTTGTATCAGTTCAGAGGGATTACTGGCCTTTGTTTAAGATAGTGGAGAGCTTCAATTAATTACCATCTATATGCTAGAGTTTTTTGTTTTTATTTTGTTTTTTTTAGTCATAAAATAATTTGGACTCAATTAGTTCTTTACTAATAACTACAAGAGATTTCAAATATGGCAATCCAAATATGCATTTTTTTATTTTTTTATTTTGAAGGAATTCAAATATGCATGTTCACATGGAATATAGAAACTCAAATACTGCTCAAACAGTACATAGTACATGGATAATTCTAATAATGGAAATTATTTGTTTCCATTTATTGCAGAAAACCTTTTAATGAAGTTATCCCTCAATATTGTTTAAACTTTAGCAATATTAGGGATTTAAAAAAAAGCAAAATGTAATCAATATTTCAGAGTAATGTGATAGGCACATCAAATGTTTATCAAATTATGATAATTGAATAGAAGTATATGTAATATATTTAAACATTTATTATTTAAATTTAATAAATATTTACACAATGAAGTAAGTTTCTTAAAGTAATCCAATTAAATATTTTTAGGGACAATATTCAGGAAACGAATATTTTTAGGGACAATATAATTGGTTTTATGATTTCTATATTTGATTTTTTTTTTGGGTGACATATTATATGTTGTTAATATATATTTCCTTCTTATAATTAAATTGGTTTTGTATTTTTTTTTTTTTTTATGGTTTTAAATTGGTTTTGTATTTGAGTCAAAACTCAAAAAATCTCCCAGAATTCAATGACCTGAAAAAAGAGCAAATGATTACTGTTTAAATCCACGTAGCAGCCGACTTTACTTGAGCTGGACAGGTGTTCACATAAATCCACCTCGACACTTTCCCCGAGCGCCACGTGCCCATTGTCTCAACACACTTATGAATACGTGTCACTTTCTGATTGGTTGCTCAACACGTGCAGATCCTGGCCTTACTCAACGAGATTCCCGCCACCTCGCGGAAATACCAGTTTGCGATGGCGATGGCTGAGCGAATCATGGACGGTAACGCCAGATCAGGCCACGTGGACATGATGGAAGTCAACCGAATGGCTCTCTCATCATCATTTGAGCGCACCTCAAATCTCCTGCAACGCTCCCTAGAGAAGCATCGCCGCATAAAAACCGGAGACCACCATGGCGGCTGCGCGTGGGCCGCACGCGCCATCCGGTCGTTGCCGCTGGGGTCGTACGTGGTGCCATATGTGAAGGGGCTGGGCGCGTGTGTTGGGGCGGTGCGGTCGTTGATTGCCACGTGCCGGTCGCAAAGGACGAGGCGATTGGCGATAGGTGGGGACGGTGGCGGCTGGTGTGGAGGAAGGGTGGTTTGGGAGGAGGAGGAAGGGGGTGAGGTGGTGGCGGAGAAGCTGGCGGAGGAGCTGCTGTGGATAAGCCACAAGCTGAGGGTTTATGGAGCAGTGGATGAGGCTCTTGTGCAATGGAGCTATGCTTCTGGCTTGGCTTCGGTTTCTCTCACCACGGATCCCAGGCTTCAAGGCCTCATTGTCAAGATTTCTGGTTCTTATCTCTTTCTCTCTCTCTATACCTAAGAGCTTATATATGGCTTAGTAAGCACTATTAGATGTGTGTGTACACTACGAGTGTTTAGTATGAGAATTCGTGTCATGGTTCGAATCGTAGTTCGTAACTTACTATAGTGTTTTCATCACAAAAAAACACACGTAAACTGAGAATAGTTCTGAATCATTATTCTGAATCCGTAAACTAAACGTCCACTTAATACTTCTGATTTATTGGTTCAATTCAAGTTAATAGTTCTGATTTATTGGTTCAATTCAAGTTAATAGTTTTGATTTATTGGCGGCAAGTTAATGGTTCTGATTTATTTGCAGGAATTTTGTGAAAGAAGAAATATTTGAATTTAAATTCTTTATGAGATAAAAAAAAAACATTGCAGCCAAATTAGAATGGTGAGTTTTAAGTATATGTACCAATTAAGGAGCCTAAGATAGTGGAAATTATACAAGTATGTTTGACGCATGCAATGCGTAAAGATAATTTAGAGATTGCCATCATGCCGTGCAGTATAATTTATGAGTGAGGCAACTATTATGCATGGATTTGTTTATTTCCGTGACAAAATAAATCTTTTGCTTAAATGAACGCGATTGTTGTGAAATTGCCATTAGAATATTTTATTTTTTTTTAGGGGAATTGCCATTAGAATATTAAGTAAACATGTTCTATTAAACAATTTTTTTTTTTTTTTTTTTTTTTTTTTTTTTTTTTGCGTGTTCAAATCATGTATACTAGTTTTGTTTGCAAGAGAGACATACTCCGTAAAACTAATTATTTTATACATGTAGCCATGTTATTTGGTGATATGAACCACGAAGAGTTGGAGATTTCAAGGGAAGTGAAGTTCAGGCTGCTCCTGCTATGGCTTCCATTGTTTTGCCACGCCGGCAACGGATTCGCATATCCCGTCTTGACATTCTTCGAGAAGGCGGAGGTGGAGAGAGCGGTCGACGAAGCGATCTGGAGTTTGCCGGCGATGGATCAAGAAGTGATCCTGACCAATTGGATACAAGACTATGCCATCTCCGCCTCCGATTGGCCAAATCTCCAGATTTCTTATGATCGCTGGTGCCAATCCACACGCAATCTTGTCAACTGATCATGTCGAGAAGCTATTGAAATACCATACAAAATGTAATATGCACCAATCGTTTCTCATGGTCATGTTACGGTTTCTTTAGTACGTATAATAATTATATATATAGTTGTGTACACTTGGTTTCAATAAGCATCTGAATGGCGAGTACTAGCTTGTGTGTGTAAAGCTTTTTATTTATTTCTTTTATTAGAGCTTTTTGTATATATTGGCCGATTGTGTCGGAACTAATCGGTAATGAAAAATTGTTGATTACCTATATGTACTTAAGTTTCGCATTTCTCGTCATGTTGTGGTTCTAAGCTGCATTTTATTTCAGCTAACTACAGTGTAAATTCTGTAGCCTGTTAGATTTGTTAATCATATTTAGAAATTTACATCCTACAGAAAAACGTCTCTCGGAGCCTAAGACCTCTCAATCTAGTGGCATTGGGAGTTCCGGTGGGGTGCGATTTGAGGAGATTGCGGGTTCAATCTCGTTTTGTATTAAAAAAAATAAAAAAATAAAAAACGTCTGTTTGAAGTAGAATTCCATAGTGATATGGTTGGTTTGCATGGTATTTTCATTGCCTTGCTATATTTCCATGTGTCTAAGAGTTTATTATTCTTAGTTCCATCCATTTAAGATTATAAGAATAATCTCTTAATTACAATCTCTTAGTACAAGAGAAAATCTTTTGATTCCAATTATAATGTGGAATTTACTTGTGTCAATTTAGGGGGGCATTTGGGTTTATTTGATTTGCCGCTGCACTCGGGAAAGATTTAACCGAGTTGGTTACATACCCCGTTGAGGGATTAAGCCATTTATCGTTCTTAGATATTTTGTAGTTGAAAAATTCTAAGGTGTATGACCATGTATGGAATTTTAATAAAATTTCCAGGTTTATGACCTATGTTGGAAATTAAGGATTTTAGGTAAATGACCCCCTTTAAGAATTTGTGGATGAAATAATTTGTTTTGTGAATTTTGAAAATTTCTAAGGTGAATGACTTATTAGGAATTGAGATTTTTGACAGCACGAGACTCTTCGTTAAAGTTGTCTATGTATCTTTTTGAAAGGATTCAAGTCAATCGTAATTCAAATTTTTGAGATTTGGGATTTTTATGATTTTTTGGCTATTTTTGAGATAAATGATCCCTTTGAAATTTTTGGAGCAAATTTTCCATTTGAGTTGGTTTTGATGATTTTGAGGTGAATGACCTCATTTTGGACTTTTATTTCGGAATAAGCCCGTCACTTCAGATAAGGATAACAATGTAAAGGCCCTTTCCAATTTTGAGTTGAGATCTTGATTTTAGGCCTTCAACAATACAGACTTGGAAGAGTCCTTTTATTTGCTTTGGGCTTTGATTTCTTTCCTTGGTCCATGGTAGTCTCTTTGGAGACTCGGGCTTTGTTTTGGAATTATGAATGAGTGAGAAATATTCGAACCACTTGCATGATCGAGTTTGAGAATTTAATGCACGACCAATACATACATGCAGAGAGACAATTTTAATTTCTTTTATGCCATTTTTGCAGTAGGCATTATTTCTTCATTTGACATTTGGGTTCTATGAAATTGCAACCCAAAATGTGGAGTGCTATATATACACATATACTTTTCAAAATCCTTTTTAAAGTCTCAACATCGGTGAAAACTGACTTTTTCACCGAGAAGTGAAAATCCATGAAATATGTCCAAAAGGGAAGAGAAATGCAATCTCATGCTCAAAACTCAAGAAATGAACATGCTAAGTTCAATAATCTATAAAATATCCATGAATGCATAAACGACAATACAAAAGTGTCGTACTCTAATAAGATCTATTTAAATCTCCTTGAGATATCATAGTTATCAAGTGTTGGTTTTATCATCTTTTAACACTTTTCATCGTATTCCCTTTAGGACCTCACACTTAATGTTATGCAACTACAAAGGCTCCAAACTACCAATCGTTCAATCATAAATCAGTTTCTAACTCGAATCCGTATTTTTCATAAATGCAGTAAATTGGCAGATTCGTCGACCTTGACTAAAATATACATAAATTATTATCTAAATCTCCAAAAATTTCACAATAAACTCCATAAGAAATTAGACACGTAGATATTTCTAACGAGCTATCATATGCCCAAATCCGAGCTCCTTAAATGCCTCAAAAGTAGTTTTCAAGAAATCAAAATTCTGTTCCTTCCTTATTTTGACAGCTTTTGGGAAGTTTCTTATAGAAACATCCAATGCGCACAACTCGGGTTACAAAACTCTAAATGACGTGATTCTAACTCTTACACATTACTAATAACGTGTTCTAAATGGTAGTAATAGTGGTTTAGGTATAGCAGTCTTATTTCAAAACGTAGGGGTCTCAGTTCTTTATTTTATCAATTTTTAGAAAAAACAGCTTTGGCTGCTGTTACGAAAATAATCATAAAATATTCCCATGGAATTTGAAGTGTCACTGTACCGTGTATTGACTCGTACTGTATGGCATGTCCCGACACCAAAACTATTAAACTAAAAACAAAACTCAATCAAAAACTTACACATGCTCAATTCCCATGGAATTTGAAGTTGTGCTCTGATACCAAAATTTGTCACGACCCTAAGGAAAATTAGGATTTTCGACCAATAGGTTAGTCAAGGTTGAGTAAAGTTGACCAAGTTGACCGACTGTCTAAAAAACACAAGAAAAATGCGCACCGGATAAGAATTAAACTGAACCGAAATAATATAGTTATTAACAACACATGGTTGAGATTTAAAGTGATTAATGGATGGAGGACCGAGATTAGGACACTTGGAATGGAAGAGAGTGGCCAGCCAAGTGTTAGGGAGAAAGCAAGTGAGATATTTTGATATTTTTACCAAAAAGACCCTAGAAAATGTCAAAATTACACTTAGGTCCCTCATGCTTTTTATGAACGGATTTAGAAGGGAAAAATACAAGGAAAATGTCCATTTTTCATGCAAGAAAACAAAGAGAACTCTGCCAGGAAAGAGAGAAAAAATTCCCCAAAGTGAGAAAAACAAGTTTGAATTGAAATTGGCGGAAAACTACGTAGATTAGCGTCACCAAAGCTTGTTCTTCATTCTTCTAAAGTAAAATTTCAATTTTTCTCCTTATTTTTAACCTTGGCTGCACGTCCATGAATAGTGGAATTCATGAAAAAAGTTTTCTAAAAATGATGATTAGCTTATGGTTCTGAATGGTACCGAAAAACCTAATGTCTAAAGGTTAAATTTTTCGGTTATTAGATTATGTTTATAGTATTTTTGTTTAGGGAGAAATCTTGTGAGAATAGTGATCTTCTCATAGCTCACCAATCCAATTCCACTCCCGTCTGTTACCTTTGGAATCTCGTATGGAGTCTGCGCAAGGAAGAAGGCAATCCCCTCTCCGTTCGGCGTTTTATCGGCGTGGGCGATGAAGGAGAAATCCGTGGTGAAATCCGCGACGACTACTGATCCTGTTGAGTTGTCCTAGAGGTGCAACGCTTCGAGGTAAGTGACTCGACCGATTTGGTCAGTTTGTTTGCGGTGAGTTCGATTTCTGAACCCAAGTAAGTGATGTTTCCTTGAGTTATCAGCTTGCTCTTGTGTTGTTCTCTAAATTCTGGAAAATTGAACTCCAAGGGAGTAGAAAACGGGATTACTATCACAAACAATAAAAAATATGGTCAAACCCGTGAAAGACTGATTTGAGCGTATTGGAGCCATGGTAAGAGGAAAGATTAGATGTGGAGGTTTCTAACGATGTTTTTGATATAGGTACCATTTATTTTCTTAATTTGAGTTTATAATTCGTATTTTGTTATAATAAAAAATTCTCAAAAATAATTATATTTAACATTTTTATTATAATAAAAAATTTTCACATAAAATCACTTCTTAACTTAAATTAAAAATTTATATTAACGAACTAAACCGACCTATAAAATAAAATAATATGTTCAAATATCTTCAGGTGGGTGTACGTTAATTAATTATAAAAGGACCTTTAGCACTATGTGTCTCAAATTAACCTAGTCAAACAGACGTGTCTGCAGGGCATGTTTCATGACTTGGCAAACAACCTTCTTGACTTTTCTAAAAGAAATATGTTCTCAAAAAAAATAAAAAATAAAAAAGGAAGATTTTGGTATTATTTTTTCTCAAAAATTAGGTGAATGGTCAATTCAGTTAGATGACCTAGCTTAGCTTAGGGCTAAATCCATTTTCAATCGTAGACTTGTTTTGGTATTATTATTATTTTTTTTCCTAGGAATCTATGATGGAATCAGTGTAAAGGTGGCCGTTTTGCAGCCACACACAAAGATATGTCCTCGTCCACTATTCTTTAGGTAATTTTCGAAACAATTAAACTGTCAATTTTTTTTTGTTTTTTTGTTTTGGTGATTTCTCGCTCAAACTTTCTAACAACTAAGCAACCCCTCGTGTTCCTAAGACTCAGCATTTCTCACTCGACGACTTCTTATCATATATCAAAAGCCCGTTTAGTTCATAAATTAAAACTATGAGATTAGAATTATTTTTAATTTACGTGTGTTTTTGTGAGAGAAAATATTGTAGTAAATCATGAATTATGATTCGAATCAGAGAACGAATTCTCCAACCAAACGGGTTCTAAATGTTTCACTATAGGCTAAACAAACAAACAAATCACAATTGGATATTTAACCTCTAATATATTATCTGATTTGTTCGTTTGTTTTTATTTTTTTAAATATTTTTTTTATTTTGTATTTGATGTAGTTTCGAAGATTTTTTTTTTTTGAATGCATTTTGAGTTTTGTGTTTCTGTGTTTGGTGATTTCTGAATTTAATTTGTTGTATTGACCCGTTTTGTTCACACACACACACATATATATATTTAAAAATTTAATTTCTTTTTGAAAGAAACAGTACTATAGAGAAAAGGTTTCAATCTTTCGACAAGTGGGACTTATAGGCCTCGTTCATTTCACCGATTCGAGTTTTTAATTTTAAGTTTTTACAGTAAAAAGTTCTAAAAAAAGGTCACATCTAACTTTCTCTGCTACAGTAAAAAGTTTTCAAAAAATATCACGTCTAAACTCGAATTAAAAACTTGAATCCGCGAAGTGAACGAGGCCTTAATTTTAAGTAAAATTCAAGTTTGAGGGAAGGTTTGGGCTCTAAAGGATCTACAAGAGCTTCAAGGATGTTCCTAACTTCAAAACAACGCGCATGTAATTCAGCCAAAAATCTTGTGGGAACAAAAATCAAACCAACGGATCGGCGAGTGAAAGAGGAATACAATCCAAAATACTTGTGGTAATATCAGCGAGAAAAGCTCCAGATCATCCGAGTCGATCTTTGAAGCCGCCTCCGCCACTGCCACCATTGGTTTCTTCGCCACCACCGCCGTACCGCCGCCATTTTGAGCAATGAAAAATCCCTCATCACTGTCACCACGGTCGTCATCAGAAAACTCTTCATCCCAATGCTATTTTGAGCTCTACCCACCCTGTTGAACCAGATATGCCTCATAAAAACATGACCTCATGAATCGAATCGTCCTCTCACCATCTTCACGAGCTCAGGTCGACGAGATCCAAACAATGTAGATCAAAAGTGGAGGCGGCTGATGGAAGAAGGAATGAATTAGGGTTTTTTTTTTTAGGGGAAAGGGAATCGATGAGAGTTTTTCTTTTTTCAATATTATTTTTTGGAATCAAGTTTTTCACTGCTTTACTTGGCCCCGTTCTTTTCGTTGATTCGAGTTTAGAATTCGAGTTTTGCTACAGTAAAAAGCTCTCAGAAACAATCACATCTAAGCCCCGTTCACTTCACCGATTTGAGTTTAGAATTTGAGTTTTGCTACAGTAAAAAGTTCTCAGAAACAGTCACATCTAACTTTTTTGCTACAGTAAAAAGCTCTCACATAAAATCACATCTCAACTCGAATCAACGAAGTGAACGGGAGCCTAACTTTTTTGCTACAGTAAAAAGCTCTCACACAACTTCACATCTTAACTCGAATTAAAAACTCGAATTAGCGAACCGAACGAGAACTTTCAATCACATGCCCAGTTAATTTTTAGTGGTAAGTCACGTTCTCGAAGCCGTTTAAATTATAGACAGATCTAGACAAAAGGGGCAATTGTATCTGTTTTCTATAGATCAGGGAGTGTTTTGAACTGTTTTAAAAAATCAAGTGGCATTTTGAAACAAGGTACATACTATAAGAGCATTTATGAAAATAATTCTTAACTCTTAACTATAAACATACAGCGAATAATCATACAAAACATTAAAGTAAAAATAAATGAAAGGTAGCTTTGAATTATATGTTATGTATTATACTTAAAATTATATATTATAGTATATTATACATAATATATTTAATTTAAAAACAAGATATAATTAAACAATGAGAGTAAATGAGGAATAGGATCGGGAATCTCTAAATTCGTCTTACTCTACCTTTAGTTGATTTTTAAAGGCAGAGTAAGATTTTTAAGCCACATAGATTAACATATTATACTCATCTTGAGGTGTACTAGGGACAAGTATAAGACAAAAGTGCCATGGAAGGAGCAGATGCCCCAGAGGATGTGTCTGTACATTGTGAAGAAGTCGTGTATTGACTCGTATTGCTTGAAGGCTGAGTCCCGCCAATCTGAAATGCACTCGTACTACCTGTACCGGAATCTTGAAAAGATGAAACTAAACAAGGCAGATAGGATGGTAAAGGCATATGACTCGGGAGAACCGGCAAAGGAGCTTCGAAATCAAGCACATGAATTGCTTGCTTTATTGAAGGCCTTAACTTGTGATCTGGGTGAGCACACCATAGCCCAACAATCATAAGTCTCTCCATCTGTTGCTCATTGAACGCCCCGCAAAGGGTCGGATCAGCCGCTTCAAGAATCTTATCCGCGCCGTATAGATCCCAAACCGATTCCACTATTATGGTTTCGTCTTCTCTTTCATTAGGCTCAATGGCTTTTCTTCCGCATGCTATTTCCAATGCCACGACCCCGAAACTGTATATATCGGATTCCCTACTGGCCCTTCCTGTGGTGACACATTCAGGGGCCATGTAGCCTAATGTCCCGGCCAAGGCTGTAGTTTGTGACCCTTTGTCATGGTCCACTAGCCTGGCCAAACCGAAATCGCCGAGCTTCGCGTTGAAATTCGAATCCAACATTATGTTGCTCGCTTTTATGTCCCTATGCAGCACACACTGTTCCCATTCTTGATGCAAATACAGCAACGCCGACGCCATGCCCCGAGCTATGTTGTACCTCGTTGCCCATGTCAACACGCTTTTTCGCTTGAAGAGGTGAGAATCTAGGCTTCCATTCGGCATAAACTCATAGATTAGGAGGAGATCTTTCTTCCTATGGCACCAGCCTATGAGTTGAACTAAATTTCTGTGCCTTAATTGGCTTATGATCTTCACCTCTGACGCATACTCCTTTACTCCTTGATTGGAGACACTAGAGACCTTCTTGATGGCAACATAAGAGTTCAAGCTTTTCAGAAAACCTCTGTAGACTCCACCAAATCCTCCTTGCCCAAGCTTCTCTTCCTCTGCGAAGTTGTTTGTCGCGACAAGCAATTCGTCGTAAGAAAACCTCCGAGCGCCGCTGTTCCTTTCAAAATCATCATCCATATACAAGTCAAAAACCAAATCATCATCATCATCATCATCACCAATTTCTTTTTTAGTCCTCTTCTTCCACAAGACAAGACCAATCAAACATAGCACTGTAACAAGAATTACAAAAGCGCCAACGCTCAATCCCACCACCAATCCCGTCTTCTTAGAATCTGAGCTTTCTTTCCCAGGCTTTGTAACAAAATCATGAGATTTAAAAGACCATGACCTAAGAATATGCCGCGAAGTGAATAGTCCATTCGCAGCTGAAAAGCCAAAACTAACCAACTCAGGTAAATAAAATGCCAAATCTATTTCATAAAAAAGTTGTTGTTGAACAGGGACTTTCTCTTCATAACCCGTGAACAAAACACTTAAATTCTTCCTTCTAGAATTGTAACTTATAGTAGCATTATATATATTCCATGACGTGATATCACAAGACCATCTTGTAGTCCTCTTAGATTTCACTGAATTCACATCTATACCTACATGTTCATCAAGGTCTTCAGGATCAAAATCCTGGTTCCGCAAAGTGTCGAACTCTATCGCAACTAACGAATATGAAGTTGACTCTCTCTCCTCAGAGCTCACCAATCCAATTCCACTCCCGTCTGTTACCTTTGGAATATCGTATGGAGGCTGCGCAAGGAAGAAGGCAATCCCATCTCCGTTCGGCTTTTTATCGGCATGGACGATGAAGGAGAAATCCGTGGTGAAATCCGCGACGACTGCTGACCCTGTTGAGTTGTCCCAAAGGTGCAACGCTTCGAGGTACGTGACTCGGCCGATTTGGTCAGTTTTGTTTGCGGTGGTGAGTTCGATTTCTGAACCCAAGTAAGTGATGTTTCCTTGAGTTCTCAGCTTGCTCTTGTGTTGTTCTCCAAATTCTGGAAAATTGAATTCCAAGGGAGTAGAAAACGGGATTACTATCACAAACAATAAAAATATTGGCAAAACCATGAAAGAGTGGGTTGAGCGTATTGGAGCCATGGTAAGAGGAAAGATTAGTTGTGCAGGTTTCTAACAATGCTTTTGATATATAATAGAATAATGGTCACGTTTAAAATTAATTTTATTTTTATTTTTTATGTTTTTTTTAAAAAAAATAAAAATTATTTTTAAAATGGTGTTTGACGTAATAAAAATAAAAAATAAAAATAAAAATAATTTTTTAATTTAATGTAAAATAAAAAAAATAAATTTTTTATTATTATTTATATTTATTATTTTTATATTTTCTTTCTTCGAACAGAGAAAAAGAAAGACGCATTAATGAATTATCTCATGTTAAAACAAACCTGACACGTCTTCTTCAATTTTCACGGTGCTGGTGTAAAGCCCTTTTCAGTCTCTGACTCTTTGAAAAGTTTTCCAAGCTCGTCTTGGTCAATGAAGTCCTTCAATTAATGTAATTTTCGAAACACGTGAACTTGTCAATTTTTTTTTATTATTTTGGTGATTTCTCGCTGGAAATTTCTAAAAATTAAGGGCTTGTTTAGTTTGTTGATTTGAATTTTTAATTTGAGTTGAGATATAATTTTATGTGAGAATTTTTTACTGTAACAAAAAAGTTAGATGTGATTATTTGTGAGAACTTTTTACTGTAACAAAATTTAAATTTTAAACTCAAATTAGCGAAATGAACGGGGCCTAAGGAACCCTCGTGTTCTTAAGGCTCAGCGTTTCTCACTTGACGACTTCTTATAAGATATCAAATGTTTGACTATAGTCTAAACAAACAAACAAATCATGATTGGATATTTAACCTATAATATATTATCTGATTTGTTTGTTTGTTTTTTATTTTTTTAATTACTTTTTTATTTTGCTTTTGATGTAGTTTTGGAGAATTTTTTTTGTGAATGCATTTTAATTTTTGTGTTTCTGTTTTTGGTGATTTCTTATCTTAATTTGTTGTATTTGACCCGTTTTGTTCATATATATATATTTAAGAATTTAATTTTTTATAAAAAATACTGTAGCAAAAAAATTTTAACCTTTTTACAACTAGGGCTTAATTTTAAGTAAAATTCAAGTTTTCAATTTTTTTTAGTATGTAGTGGAGAGGTAAAATAACTAAAATAGACATGCCCGTTGAAAGCTTGATGCAAATAGACGAATTTTGGTTCTACGTCTTCGAGCTATATATCCTCGTTTAATTCTAGTCATTGAATAAATGAAACTTTGATGAATAACTAATTGATTTCTTTTCTTTCAGTTATTTTCTTTCCTTTTCCTAGTCTATTAATAACAAAACGGATTCTTCCAATGTATAAAATAAAAATTCCAATGGCTTTTGCTACTATAACCTTCTTAACATACATATTTATAGTTAATTTAATTTCTATTTTTAAGATCAATACTCATTACATTTTTACATAAAAATACTAAAAAAATATAATTTTAATTTTATAATTTAATGTTTCAAAAGAGTAAATTACTTTTATTCAAAAGAAAAAAATGAATTCTTAGTTATGGTTGTTCATTTTGATAGTTGTTAAAAATATTTGAGTAAATTTAGCATAGCATACTTATTAAATATTTTAAATTTTCAAAATAACTATTATAAAATAATATATATATTAATTTAATATT